AGCAATAGATTATGTGTGTTTGCACCGAGTAAATTGCACATGATCAGACTAGTAGAAAACCAGAAGGCAATGGAAGTTATATCACTAGCATACAGGCAACCAAATGAACCAATATCACTGCAGATTAAGCTCTGGGTAAAAAAACCTGAGGTATTGGGTACTTCCATGTATTCAAAGCCGTCAGTCCAATTGTGTTAGAACTTCCTCCATGGTATGCATTTCTCAATGCAATCATACCTAGATTACCACTGTATAGACGGGCCATAAGCATGGCTAATTCATTTGCTTCTGTCCCGGAGTTTACAAAATATACAACCTGCATAATCAAGTAAGCAGAAGTTTCAATCAGTATAGGAGAATGATGTTCTATACAAGGGTAATAAGGAGATCAATGTGAGATCCCAAGGAGGAGAATGAAGCATTTTTTACAAGAGTGGAAATTTCTCAGTAGTAGACCCTTTTTAAAAGCCCGAAAGAGAAAGCCCAAAGAAGACAATATCTGCTATCAGAGTGAGACACCAACAGGCTAAGCCTTAAAGGGGTGGATACTAGGTGGGGGCCAACAAGGATGTTGAGCCACAAAGGAGGCGGATTGGGAGGTCCCACATCAATGGGAGAAGAGAAGAGTGTCAGCGAGGACGCTGGGCCTCGAAGGGGGTGGATTGTGAGATCCCACATCGGCTGGCGAGGAGAACGAAACATTTTTTATAAGGATATGGAAACTTCTACCTAGCAGACGTGTTTTTAAAATCTCTAGAGAAAGCTCGAAAGAGAAAGTTGAAATAGAACAATATCTCCGGGTGGTGGTGATGAGATGAGATAACAACTCAACCATCATCGTTGAGAAAGATGAAAAGATCCACCAGTTCTAGTAATTCAACATCTCTTATCCCATCTCTAATGAAGGTCCGAACACAAGTTCAACAATTTCCACAGAGCCCGACATATCCTGGATGCTTTGCTTCAATATCAATCATCCATTACAGCGAAAATGAATAGATACTATTTAATAATTCTGAAAGGAGAAAAACACCTTCAAGTTTCCAGGCATTTTCTCAGCCAATGCTTCAGCAAAGTCAGCTATTGCATGGTGTAGGTATATGGTTGTGGCATGCTGTAAAAGCTTGTTTTGCTCATTGACTGCAGCCAAGACATGAGGATGGCAATGCCCACAAGAAACAGTAACAATACCAGCAAAAGCATCAAGGTACCGCCGCCCATTCTCATCAAACAAATATTGCATTTTCCCTTCTACAATGTTGAGCTATTCAATTAAGAGAGCAAGACCAAAAGAATCAGTTTCTGAAGAATGTGCGGATTGAAGGATATCCATCAAATACACCAACAAAGTTCAATTTAACGATAAATGTTCAAAAAAACCAAAAAACCAAGCGTATCCCATAATAAGGTAAATCAATCAACAAATCTGCATGAGTTCATCATCATCACATAGCAACGAAGCAAGAAAAGCGGCCAGATCAAGTAAAATCCTGCTCAAATGCAGAGATCTAGCGCTTCTTCCAGAAATCACAATCGGTTCACTTAAATGAACCACCAGAATTCCATATCAATCTTAAGCACGATACGACAGAAGAATCGACAATGCAGAAAACTAAATCAAATAAGGAGTAGTAGTCGAAATCAGAGAGATTACCGGCTTCTTGTAGTAGTGGAAAAGCGAAGGGCCGAGAAACTTCTTCCGCTTCTGAAAAATTTCATCGGCGAGAGGTCCTTTGTAAGGCTTCGGCGTGTAATCAAACGGCGGAAGAACAGGTTTGAGATCAGTAGCAGCGGAAGCAGAAGGAATCGAAGAGAAAGAAGTACAAAAGGTTGGCCTGGAACGGCCAATGAGCTGCTTCAAGTTCGCCTCTCGTAGAGCCTTCTTCAAAATTTGCTTCTGAAACGCCATGGCCGATCGATCGAAGCTCCAAACTGAAGAAAGCTTTCGGTTTCGTGCCGGTAATGGCGGCTCTGTCAGCCGTGTTTATAATAAATAAATAAATTTGGGAAAGTCCAAGAGTCTGCTGACGTGGCATTTAATTTATATGCATGTTGATGACTAGTTGCTGATCCTAATTACCACCTAGGATCAAGTGATTAACAATGCTTCCAAAAATTTAAAAATTAGAAGAATATTTAATACATATTTAAACTTTATTAAATCTCCCATTTTTATTTTCTCTTAATCAAACACATTCTCAAACTATCATTCAATTTAGAATCATGCCCTCAATTTAGTCGTACCAATAGATTGGTAAATCCCCACAAAGGAATCCAAAAGAAAAGGAGTCAACCCTACTCGAAGGCATAGTAAAAAATGACAAGACTTCAAAAGAGTCGAATCTTGATTAAGGGGAGACGTACTTTGTTTGAGGGGAGGTATTGGATGATAAAAGTCCCACCTCGACTAATTTAGGGAATGATCATGAGTTTATAATCAAATAATACTTTCTTCATTGGTTTGAGGCATTTTGGGAACTCCAAAGCAAAGACATGAGAGGTTATGCTCAAAGTGAACAATACTGTGTTAGAAAAGATTTAATATAACTTAATATTAAAGTTCAAATTAAATTTACAATTCTAGTATGTAATCAATTTATTTCGATGTAAATTTTAAGACTCCAATCTAGTAATCTAATCTATCTCAAGATAGGTATGAATTGATTCTCAATATTTTATTACAATGGGACTTATACCCTTTTTCTTGTGAACTTTACACAATTTGTCCTTTTATTTTTAATCGGTTTGTTTTGACCATCTAGTACTAATTTATTCATATTCTTCTTCGTCATTCTCTATCTAGATTTTAGGTTCAACTTGAGTGCGATAGACTCTACGAGATAATGAACGTGTTCAAAAAATTAACAACGAAAGATTCACATCAGTCATTTTAAAATACAAAATTTCATTTGAGTTCCCCTTAGTCAGGAAATCATGTTTTTTTAGGGCTCTTCCAAACGTTAATTTCAAGTATTAATTATTTCTTCTCAAAATATATATTAGGTTGTTTGGTGCTTTGAATGAGACCCGCGTTAAGGTTTATGTTACCGTGTGAAAAATAAGGCATAAGACAAGAAAGAACGAAATTTGTGACGAATGTGTTGGAAGTTGACTTTTTTGTATAGGTGTTTATAGGTTGACTTAGGTCATGTTTAGACATTTTTTTAGATCCTATTCAATTGTTGAGTAGTAAAAATTTTCAACTCAAACAACCTTTTTTAAAAAATAAATCCAATACGACCATTGAACCTCACGGGAATCGAACACATTGAACCTTATTCAATTTTTTTTAATAAAAATAAAATGTTAGTGAGTGAAATGGAATAAAGAAGAAAATAAAAAGATTCGAGAATGGAAAATTAAAAAAAAAAAAATTGAACCTCACGGGAATCGAACACACTGGAATCAGACACACACTATTGAACCACAGATCCATCTGTTGAAAGGAATTGAAAATAATAATTAAATATCTTAATAAATAGTACACCTATAGAGTATTATTAAAAAGATTCCTACCAAGTAGACTTCTTTTTTATGAAATTTTTTCTAATTTTTTATACCCTTAATTATTTTTAGTTTATTTATGTAAATAAATTAATATAAATATAAATATAATCATCATACAATTTTAACAATGGGTGGTAAAATTTATGAAGATGAACATGATTCAGTTCATGTCACAACCGACAAATTAACATTTTTCTTATAGAAATTTTAAATGGAAACGATTCACCTAAACAACTTTGATCGGTCGACCAAAAATACCGAAAATACCTAAAACTTTCTATAATGAATCAACCTACACCCGTTAAAGTTCCATTCAGATTATTAAGATCCTATTTTATTCTTCATCGACAACAAGAGACTAAATTGAAAAAACACCCCGACATATAACGAGCAGCCATAAAAATATTCAATATGTTGGATCTAATACTGTCTTTTCACTTGAAATATGAATGATATTCTTATGAATGCTGTATTGAGGTTGGTACATGAGAATTGATTTGGTGACTCACCTAAGCTTGAAGATCTTGGTAAGATGAACTTTGGTTGCAAAAGAGAATCAGCTCGAACCCGCAGCTTCCGCCTTGATAGGGCGGTGTTTTGACCAATTGAACTACAATCCCGAGGAAATAAAGTGTACAACAAAATCACCAACTAAAATTCTCAAGCCCAATGTGGAAGTCCAAATCTGATAGCTATGAAGTTATGAAGGCCAAGGCTCCATTTTAAAGCTAAGATGAGACTGTTCAAGTTTCAAAGCAGCAAACAAGGAACTAATAGCCAGACAGTTCAAGAATGTAATTGAGGCTATCCTACCTTAAACAAGAACAAGTCATTAACATAAACCAGGACATACCCATCAAATGTGTGAGAATTGTTCAAATAATTATCAACGAGTTCAATAATATTCCCAAATACAAGCACACTATCCAAGCTAAAGTCTCTTGCAAGAAACCCAAGTTCATACTGGTAGCAACCAACCATATGACTTGGCTCAAATCTGGTGCACCAAGCACATCAAGATCGACAAACACTTCGTCGTGATGGGCAACTAGATGTTGGATCAAATAAGCTCTAGTTCTGGCCATGTCTTCATGTATACTACTTAGGCTGCAATTCATCCATACATTGACCTCTAAAGGCCGCCAACAATTCTGTCACCTGATCAGGAAACCTGTGCACGAATTTATCCAAGAAATTCTCATCAGACATCCCCAATATATCGATCAATTGCAGGTGTTTCTTCGATAGCCTCTTCGAGTTTACGACCTGAAGAACTCTATACCGAGGGAGCACCCTCCCCTGCATGGCGTGCATCAAACAAGTAGGTTTACGAACAATATCTGATCTGCTGACTTCTGCCTCATTCATAAAGAATTCTAGACCTCGTTTAAGTTTACCAACGGAGGTTCTTATCAAAACAGGAGCAGAAGTAAACATTCTCATACATTCTTTCTCAGTTATTCCAAAGCTGCAAATCAATTCCACTTTCTTCTTGAAGGTCGCATTACTTACACTACTGATAGCATGAAGTCCATGAACAAACATTCTAGTATTTGTAGAAAAACCCGTCTCTACAACCATAGAAACAAGATCTCTAACTTGAGATTCACGCATACCAAAAAGTGCAGGTTGCCTCTTCAGTAACATAGAGAGTTGAGAACCAACAATCCCACAACTTTGTAAGTAATTAATATTGACAGGCAACCTTGTATACGGAGATCGCATAAGCATATCAGAACATCGCCGCAAAACTTGTAGGAGATCGCTATTACACTCATCCTTGGGGAAAACACTCTTAAGAATCTCAACACTAGGCATCAATCTCTTTTCCAAACTAATAGTCAAAAGCGTAGAATGCTTGGAAATGAACCTACCCAAATCGGAGCCGACCAAGCCAAGATTCTGGAAGAACTCGATCTTCGGCTTCAGAGTCTTTTCGATGTTGGAAAACGCGATCTGCGGCGCAAGGCGAATCGTCGATTGAATGTGAGCTTCGGAGAATCCGAGCTCTGAAAGATATTTGTAAACGGATTGAGGCTTTTCCGTTGATGCAATGCCTCTACGGCTGCTCATAATCGACACCGCTCTGGCGGGGGAGAGTTCAAAGGTATCAATAAGGTATTGAACGACGATTCCATATGAAGCAGAGGCTTGGCTGTGGGAAGAAGAAGAGAAGAAACAGTACAAGAGAGGATCAATTCGGAGCAAGGAGGGAGGATTATGGCGAGAGGAAATAGAGAACGATGATCTCAGCGCGTACATTTAAGAACTCAAAGGCAAACAACAAGAAATTAGGGTTTCAGACGGCGGCGTCTCTGAGCAATTGGAGATGCCTCCGTTTTCTCTGAACTCCTTGCGCCCCGCTGCCACCTCCGACTTCAATTTAGATTTTGAATTTTCGATTTTTTTCATAATTTTTAAGAAATTAAAATTTTTTTAGTCATAAATTTAATTTTATATTTAGTTAATTAATTGTTTCTTTTATAATAACTTATTAATTACAAAATTAAAAATTTATGAATTTATTATACACTTTTTAAAATTTTAAAATTAATTATCTTCTTCCATCCATAGTTGTCATGGTCTATTGCTGCTATCGATCGTTGTCGCCACTTTTTTAACTCTCTTTTCTTCTAAAATCCTTGCAATCACTATGGTGACACTATTGGCAAAGAGTAATGAGACAAAGGTTCTAGCCTAAGTGATTATAAAATTCTTGCAACCACTACGGTGAATTGCGTGCAAATCAAGCTCGAGACATATAAGAAATAAAATAATAGCAAACTAATATCAACAACTCTGTCAGATTCCATATTGGTTGGAGAAGGAAACAAAACATTATTTATAAAAGTGTGAAAATCTCTCCACATTTGTTTTAAAAATCTTGAGGGGAACCTTGGAAGAGAAAATCCAAAGAGAACAACACTGTGTACTAGTGGTGGCCTTGGATTGTTACAAGTTCATTCAAGTGCTAGACTAGGATTCAAATAAGGTTAACCTACCTAAGACTGCAAAACTCAAAACCACAAACATTTTTAGTCCAATCAACCATCCATTCATATGTTTGAAAAGATGCAAAATCTATTTTATGGTAGACTACCTCGACTCTCTTCCATTCCTCCCAACGCTCAGTCAAGCTATCTCCTTCGAGCATCGTCACGAACATCCGATATTTTTTGTCGGTCCATGGAACTCAACATAGTACATCATAACGTGTTGTGATGCATACATAGTTATAAACATGAGGGAGCGTCCTCGTGCTTATACCAACTGAAATGCATATGTAGACTAATCATAAATGACTTCATCATCGTAATATCATTATTATAGGCACATAATCGTCATATAATGGATAGTTGGTCAAATTTTTCTTTTCTAGAATTTTGCTTTTATAAATATATATTTTTTTAAAATAGTAATAGATTCCACTAGATGATCAATTAATATATATTGCATTTTTCTTTGTTTTTTTTTTAAAGAAATATTATATATTCCGTCTATTTTCTAATAAATATATTATAAATGTTAAAATTATTGTAATATAATAAATTTCAATAATCTTTAAAAGAGATCTCATCCGTTAGAAATGAGAACAAAACATTATTTATAACGGTGTGGAAACCTCCTTCTAGTAGACGCGTTTTAAAGTCGTGAGACTGACAGTAATACGTAACGGGCCAAAATGAACAATATCTGCTAGCAGTGAGCTTGAATTGTTACAAAATGATAATAGAGCTAGACACGAGGCGGTGTGTCAAGGATGCAGGCCCATCTCACATCGATTGGAGAGGGGAACAAAACATTTTTTTATAAGGGTGTGGAAACCTCTTCCTAGTAGACACGTTTTAAACCCATGAGGTTGATAGCAGTATGTAATAGACTAAAGCAGACAACATTTATTAGCGGTGAGCTTGGACGGTTTGAAGAAATTAGATACGGATGAAATGTAATAATTTGATTAGAATATATTAAGAATATATGGAAGAGAATAAACAAGTACAAAAGTATTCAATGATGTTTTTCAAACTTATAGTTTGTACGCTTCATTCACAAGACAACCCATTCATTTTCTTATGTTACAAAATTTTTTTTGAAAAAAAACATTGGTTTACCCATTTAAATACAATTTTATATATACAAGATCTCGACATTTGAATATTTAACGTTACTTAAAAGAGTACGTGTCAATTATTGCTAAGTTATAATTGCATATGGTATCAGACTTATGCCCTTATCTTAACTTTGTCATATTAATAGACATCTCAAGTGCCATATAAAAAAGTTGGGAGCCTCTAACATAATAGTCCAAGTCCACCACTAGCATATATTGTCCACATTGGCCCGTTACGTATAACTGTCGGCTTCACGACTTTAAAACGTGTCTAGTAGGGAAAGATTTTCATACCCTTATAAGGAATACGTCGTTCCCCCTCCATCCAATGTGGAATTTCACATCGAAGATAAGGTCATAATGACTCAGGTGTCATACAAAGAGTATATTTTATTCGAAAACTCCAGAGAAGAAGCTCTATGGTGTATTTTGTACAAAGGAAGAATTGTTTAAGTAATTAATGAGAAAATCATGAGTTCAATACTGACTATCTTCATTGGTACGAGATCTTTTGAGGGAACTAAAACCAAAATTATAAGAACTTATGTTGAAAGTGGACAATATCATTGGACACTATCAGAGAATCAATACGTATCAGGTGCACTCTCCTAAGCTTGAAGATCTTGGCAAGATGAACTTTGGTTGCAAAAGAGAATCAATAATCAAATCACCAACTCAAATTCTCAAACCCAATGTGGAAGTCCAAATTTGATAGCTATGAAGTTATGAGGGCCAAAGCTCCATTTTAAAGCTAAGATGAGACTGTTCAAGTTTCAAAGCAACAAACAAGGAACTAAAAGCCAGACAGTTCAAGAATGTAATTGAGGCTATCCTACCTTAAACAAGAACAAGTCATGAACATAAACCAGGACATACCCAAGATTTGTTCAAATAATTATCAACGAGTTCAATAATATTCCCAAATACAAGCACATTATCCAAGCTAAGGTGTTCATGCTTCACAATTATTATTGTATACATCTAGGAAGAATTTAATTTTTCAATTGTCAGATAAACTTACCAAAATCTTAAGAACTGATCTGTCACAGAGAACAAGCCCCTTGCAAGAAACCTAAGTTCATACTGGCAGCAAACAACCATATGACTTGGTTCAAATCTGGTGCACCAAGCACATCAAGATCGACAAACACTTCGTCGTGATGGGCAACTAGATGTTGGATCAAATAAGCTCTAGTTCTGGCCATGTCTTCATGTTTCCAACTCCTTAGGCTGCAATTCATCCATACATTGACCTCTAAAGGCCGCCAACAATTCTGTCACATGATCAGGAAACCTGTGCACGAATTTATCCAAGAAATTCTCATCAGACATCCCCAATATATCGATCAATTGCAGGTGTTTCTTCGATAGCCTCTTCGAGTTTACGACCTGAAGAACTCTATACCGAGGGAGCACCCTCCCCTGCATGGCGTGCATCAAACAAGTAGGTTTACGAACAATATCTGATCTGCTGACTTCTGCCTCATTCATAAAAAATTCTAGGCCTCGTTTAAGTTTACCAACGGAGGTTCTTATCAAAACAGGAGCAGAAGTAAACATTCTCATACATTCCTTCTCAGTTATTCCAAAGCTGCAAATCAATTCCACTTTCTTCTTGAAGGTCGCATTACTTACACTACTGATAGCATGAAGTCCATGAACAAACATTTTAGTATTTGTAGAAAAACCAGTCTCTACAACCATAGAAACAATATCTCTAACTTGAGATTCACGCATACCAAAAAGTGCAGGTTGCCTCTTCAGTAACATAGAGAGTTGAGAACCAACAATCCCACAACTTTGTAAGTAATTAATATTGACAAGCAACCTTGTATACGGAGATCGCTTAAGCATATCAGAACATCGCCGCATAACTTGCAGGAAATCGCTATTACACTCATCCTTGGGGAAAACACTCTTAAGAATCTCAACACTAGGCATCAATCTCTTCTCCAAACTAATAGTCAAAAGCGTAGAATGCTTGGAAATGAACCAACCCAAATCGGAGCCGACCAAGCCAAGATTCTGGAAGAACTCGATCTTCGGCTTCAGAGTCTTTTCGNGATAGCCTCTTCGAGTTTACGACCTGAAGAACTCTATACCGAGGGAGCACCCTCCCCTGCATGGCGTGCATCAAACAAGTAGGTTTACGAACAATATCTGATCTGCTGACTTCTGCCTCATTCATAAAGAATTCTAGACCTCGTTTAAGTTTACCAACGGAGGTTCTTATCAAAACAGGAGCAGAAGTAAACATTCTCATACATTCTTTCTCAGTTATTCCAAAGCTGCAAATCAATTCCACTTTCTTCTTGAAGGTCGCATTACTTACACTACTGATAGCATGAAGTCCATGAACAAACATTCTAGTATTTGTAGAAAAACCCGTCTCTACAACCATAGAAACAAGATCTCTAACTTGAGATTCACGCATACCAAAAAGTGCAGGTTGCCTCTTCAGTAACATAGAGAGTTGAGAACCAACAATCCCACAACTTTGTAAGTAATTAATATTGACAGGCAACCTTGTATACGGAGATCGCATAAGCATATCAGAACATCGCCGCAAAACTTGTAGGAGATCGCTATTACACTCATCCTTGGGGAAAACACTCTTAAGAATCTCAACACTAGGCATCAATCTCTTTTCCAAACTAATAGTCAAAAGCGTAGAATGCTTGGAAATGAACCTACCCAAATCGGAGCCGACCAAGCCAAGATTCTGGAAGAACTCGATCTTCGGCTTCAGAGTCTTTTCGNCGAGGGAGCACCCTCCCCTGCATGGCGTGCATCAAACAAGTAGGTTTACGAACAATATCTGATCTGCTGACTTCTGCCTCATTCATAAAAAATTCTAGGCCTCGTTTAAGTTTACCAACGGAGGTTCTTATCAAAACAGGAGCAGAAGTAAACATTCTCATACATTCCTTCTCAGTTATTCCAAAGCTGCAAATCAATTCCACTTTCTTCTTGAAGGTCGCATTACTTACACTACTGATAGCATGAAGTCCATGAACAAACATTTTAGTATTTGTAGAAAAACCAGTCTCTACAACCATAGAAACAATATCTCTAACTTGAGATTCACGCATACCAAAAAGTGCAGGTTGCCTCTTCAGTAACATAGAGAGTTGAGAACCAACAATCCCACAACTTTGTAAGTAATTAATATTGACAAGCAACCTTGTATACGGAGATCGCTTAAGCATATCAGAACATCGCCGCATAACTTGCAGGAAATCGCTATTACACTCATCCTTGGGGAAAACACTCTTAAGAATCTCAACACTAGGCATCAATCTCTTCTCCAAACTAATAGTCAAAAGCGTAGAATGCTTGGAAATGAACCAACCCAAATCGGAGCCGACCAAGCCAAGATTCTGGAAGAACTCGATCTTCGGCTTCAGAGTCTTTTCGATGTTGGAAAACGCGATCTGCGGCGCAAGGCGAATCGTCGATTGAATGTGAGCTTCGGAGAATCCGAGCTCTGAAAGATATTTGTAAACGGATTGAGGCTTTTCCGTTGATGCAATGCCTCTACGGCTGCTCATAATCGACACCGCTCTGGCGGGGGAGAGTTCAAAGGTATCAATAAGGTATTGAACGACGATTCCATATGAAGCAGAGGCTTGGCTGTGGGAAGAAGAAGAGAAGAAACAGTACAAGAGAGGATCAATTCGGAGCAAGGAGGGAGGATTATGGCGAGAGGAAATAGAGAACGATGATCTCAGCGCGTACATTTAAAAACTCAAAGGCAAACAACAAGAAATTAGGGTTTCAGACGGCGGCGTCTCTGAGCAGTTGAAGATGCCTCCGTTTTCTCTGAACTCCTTGCGCTCCGCTGCCACCTCCGACTTCAATTTAGATTTTGAATTTTTTATTTTTTTCATAATTTTTAAGAAATTAAAAAATTTTAGTCATAAATTCAATTTTATATTTAGTTAATTAATTATTTCTTTTATAATAACTTATTAATTACAAAATTAAAAATTTATGAATTTATTATACACTTTTTAAAATTTTCTTCTTCCATCCATAGTTGTCATGGTCTATTGTTGCTATGGATCGTCGTCGCCACTTTTTTAACATCAACCGTTCTAGACAAATAAGAAATAAAATAATAGCAAACTAATATCAACAGTTCTGTAAGATTCCACATCGGTTTGAGAGGGGAACGAAACATTCTTTATAAATGTGTAGAAACTTTTCTCCAACAAACACGTTTTAAAAATCTTGAGGGGAATCTCGGAAGAGAAAACCCAAAGAGAAGATTTTGTACTAGTGGTGGGCTTGTTTGTTATAAGTTCATTCAAGTGCTAGACTATGATTCAAATAAGGTTAACCTACCTAGGACTGCCCTAAACCCTAAACCCTAAGCCCTAAGCCCTAAACCCTAAACCCTAAACCCTCCATTCAAATGTTTGAAAAGGTGCAAAATCTGTTTCGAGGTAAACTACCTCGACTCTCTTCCATTCCTCCCAATGCTCAATCAAGTCGTCTCCTTCGAGAATCGTCACGACATCTGACATTTTCGGTTGGTCCATGGGACTCATCATAGTACATCATAACGTGTTGGGATGCATACATAATTATAAACATGAGGGAGCATCCCTGTTCTTATACCAACAGACACGTTTTAAAAGTCATTTATGTAGACTAACCATAAATGACTTCATCATCGTACTATCATAACTATAGATACATAAACGTGATATAATGGATAGTTGATCAAATTTTTCTATACTCGAATTTTGCTTTTATAAATATATATATTTTTTAAATATTAATAAATTCCATGGTATTTATAATCCGGTGATCAATTAATATATATTAGATTTTTCTTTATTTTTTTTAAAAATAAAACGCCCACCATTAATTTAGTGACTTTTCATTTATATAAGATTTTCTCTGTTTTTTTTTTTTAAGAAATATTATATATTCCGTCTATTTTCTGATAAATATATTATAAATGTTAAAATTATTGTACTCTAATAAATTTCAATAATTTTTAAAAGTTATTTTTCAAGTAAACCGTGAGATCTCATCCGTCAGAAAGGTTTCTCTTCAAGGGTGTGGAAATCTCCTCCTAATGGACGCGTTTTAAAGTTATAAGAGTCATAAGACCGACAACAATACGTAACAGGCCAAAACGAACAATATCTGCTAGCAGTGAGCTTGAGTTGTTACAAACTAGTATCAGAGCTAGACTCCAAGTAGTGTGTCAAGGACGCAGGCCTCCAAGGGGGTGAATTGTGAGATTTCACATCGATTGAAAACGGGAACAAAACATTTTTTTTATAAGGGTATGGAAACCTCTTCCTAGTAGACACGTTTTAAACTCGTGAGGTTGATAGCAGACAACATTTATTAGCGGTGAGCTTGAACGGTTTGAAGAAATTAGATACGGATGAAATGTAATAATTTGATTAGAATATATTAAGAATATATAGAAGAGAATAAACAAGTACAAAAGTATTCAATAATGTTTTTCAAACTTATAGTTTGTATGCTTCATTCACAAGACAACCCATTCATTTTCTAATGTAACTTTATTTTTAAAAAATATGTTACAAAATTAAAAAAAAAAAAAAAAAAAAAACATTGGTTTACCCATTTAAATACATTTTTATATTTATAGACCAAAATCAAATTTTTAATACAACATCTCGAGATTTGAATATTTAACGTTAATGAAAAGAGTACGTGACAATTATCGCTAAGCTATAATTACATCTGCTGTTGAGGTTTATTGGGTAGTAATCATAATAAGAAGAAGTTCATGAGCTTATAAAGTAAAAATATTATTTCTATTAGTACGAGACCTCTCGGGAAAATCAAAAGCAAAACCATCAAAGTTTATACTCAAAATAGATAATATCATATTAGTATAGAAGGTCGTTGTTCCCTCTAGTGATATCAGACTCATACCCTTATCTTAACTTAGTCATATTAATAGATTTCTCAAGTGCCGAATAAAAAAATTGTAAGTCTCGAACATAATAGTCCAAGTCCACCACTAGCATATATTGTCCACATTGGCTTATTTTGTTACATATGACATAGGGAGAGATTTTCATACCATTATAAAGAATATTTTGTTACCCCTCCATCCAATGTGGGATTTCACGATTGAAAACAAGGACATACTATTTTTATTGGTACGAGATTTATTGGGGAAACTAAAAACAAAGTTACACGAACGTAAGTTGAAAGTGGACAATATCATACCACAGTCAAAGTTCGTGATTTCTAGCCGTTTTAATTTTTTTTATAATTAAATAATTAAAAAAAAAAAAAAGCACATGCAATTGGGTGAGTGTGGGGAGTTCTTTAATTTGTATCCTCCTTTTTTGGACCGTACAAAGGCGATTATACGATGCCATTTCCATTTCCACTCCAATTTGTATAATAATTACTGAACCAAAAGGCTTTCCAAAATATCCCAATGTCTCCCAAAGTACAGAATTAACACGTAACTTTTTTTAATACCCATTAATTTTTCACTCCCAATAATCTAAAATAAATAAATAATGCGTCTTTTCAATATTTATTTATATGTATTTAGTTCGATAGAATAAACAAGCTCGAGTTATTAAAATGGTAAAGAAACGGATCAAGGAGAACAAACGAAATTTGTTGAAACTTCGAATAGTTAAAAAGTCTCGTTGAACTAAGGACCACTCATTCTAGTTCTAGTGCTAGGGTCCTCGTTTCATAGTATTTAGCTTTCGAGATGTTTACTTTATGTACTAAAAAAATAGGAAAAATATTAAATTTATGAAATTTATGAAATTCATGGAACTCGTGGAGTGGAATTCTTGGTATCTTATTAATATTTTTAAAATATTAAAAGATTAAATAGATATTATTATTTAAAGTTTACGAAATTAATCATGATTTTATTATTTACTTATAAAGTTTAAATATTATTTTGAATTTCATTTTATTTTACCTTACGTACTTAACAAAAATCAGTTTTTTTTTAAAAAAAAATTTGTTATCACGTATATTTTCAATATAAAAGGATGTTATATAAACTAAACTCTATTTTAAAAAATTCAATAATATATTAATAATTGATACTAAATTTAAGATGGGGATAAAAAAAAATTAAAAAGGATCGAGTACATGATGTTAATTTATCGTTGATTATTTATAAAAATATGTAATAATTGATATATTTATTATTGAGCTATGATCAAATTGACTATATATATATATATATAATAAAAATATAAAAAGAGAATTATCGAGATTCCACTCGTCGAAGACCATTCTTTGAAATTATTCTAATCATCAATTATTTATTTTATTTTATTTTATTTTATTTATTTCTCTCTCTTTCCCTTTTTCTGTCAAAATCAAACCGCCTTTCCTCTTAATTGAATTTCTCCTCCCTTTGCCCCTTCACTTTAAAATCCCCTCCGCAGACCTACTTTTCTCCACCACCAATTTCCACCGGAATCCTCCCCAACCCCGCTCCGCCTTCACTTTCCGGCCAAACCCCTCCGCGATGCACAAGCGAAACCTCACAACCACCGTCAGCCCCGTCGGCAGCCCAACCTCCGACAACATATCCGACAGCTCCACTAAAGAACAGGACAGGTTTCTTCCGATCGCAAACGTGAGCCGAATCATGAAAAAATCCCTTCCTGCTAACGCCAAAATCTCAAAAGAAGCTAAAGAGACCGTCCAGGAATGCGTGTCGGAGTTCATCAGCTTCATCACTGGCGAGGCCTCCGATAAGTGTCAAAGGGAAAAACGGAAGACGATCAACGGCGACGATTTGCTGTGGGCTATGACCACTTTGGGATTCGAAAATTACGTTGGCCCTTTGAAGATTTATCTCAACAAATACAGAGAAACAGAGGAGGAGAAACATTCTTTAGCCAGACAGGACGATCCCTCCCCGTCACCGACGAAATCCGCCGCCGCCACCGTCGAACAGATTATCCGTGGGAAATCGGCCAATCCGGTGATGGATTTTCAGAATTTAAATTCTGGGTTTTATTCACTGGGGAATCATAAGAGTTTGAATATAATCGATGGCGTTGGATTTGGGGAAAGTTTGAGGGGTAAATATGAGTGGAGTCCGTGAAAATGGAGCTCCAGCTATGGCGGCTCACATGAACATCAGCTAAAAAAGAAAGTAAATTAGGGAATTAATCCAATTTCTGATTGCAATTAAGGAGAATTTATCATAGTCTAAAACATATTACAAATTTATGGTAGGAGAATTTATCAGAGAGAAATATTATAATTTTAGGGGTTTTTTCTTTTCTTTTCTTTTCTTTTTTTCTTGGTTATAAAAGTGATGGGAATCTAGAATTAATACTTTAATATATTATGCTTTTTGACTTAATGATAAAATCACATTTAAATTCTTGGTCTCCAGGTACTTGAGAGTGCTTTTTATTTTAATTTTCTTGTTATGATTGATGGGGAATATCGTGTTTGACCACTTTCTCATTATGAAAATATTCTCTAATCTCATCTTTTTCATAATTATTATTTAACTAATTAAAGGTTCTTACTTCCTTTTAAGGGTGTTTATAGACCCGATATCTTAAACAACTCAAGCTATCCAACCCAAACTATAAAGATTACGATGAATGAGACTTTTGAAAAATCGAAAATTCAGTTCAATCCGAAATTTTAAAAAGATTAAGAAATTTAATATTTGTAACCAATATATATGGTGTGATGAGCCGACATTTGATATTTAAACTTTATAAAATTTTAATTATTATAAAATATATAGTAGATAAATAGATTAAAAAAAAAAAAAAAACCTAACTTGAAAACAAGGGTTTTGTTGAATTGAGATAGGATACTCAAAATTTAAGAGCAGTCTAAAAGATGTTTCC